CTTGCTTTCAAATTATCTTCTAAGGAATGAATATCTAGTAGCAATAGTAGCCATCTTTCCAATGTAATAATGTCCAGAGACTACTATATTCACTCTAAGCTTAAGCATTCCGCCATAGACAAGTCTTGTGCTGTCTTTTACTTTCTCAGTCACAGTTCCATCATCAGAGAGATCAACATACTTTGAGAGATGACAACTCTTTGCTACTCTAAAATTGTTGAATCTTAGATAACCGTTGTCATTGTGGACCAAAGCAATTTTAGATCCAACATCTCCGACCTCAATTCCTTGAAGTGGTTTATGAGTTTACAAATCTCTGATTTAGATTATGAAAGCATGTACTCCGTGCTTCTTTCCCTAAGATATCAACTGAGCATATACAACTGCATGAGTCGAAGACTTTCCTAGGCCTCCTGGCCAGAATTTTGTAGATTCAATAGTAGGTGAGTTGAAGACGATTTCTTTAGTGTTGACGTCATAGGTTGCAGAAGTTTGTAGTCCTTAGACGTCAGAGCCATGTCCAAGCTCAGTTTATGCATAAGACCCAGTTATCTTGAAATCGTTAGCAAGTGGAACCCAATACTTGACCTATTCTTCAGATCCTAGTAATTCAATCGCTGGTATGAATGCGTAGATATGAAGGTATAAATTGCCATAATCTAGGTTGAATCTGTTTAGACTAATTACTCTTGCCATTGCATTATCTCTATCGTGACTATATCCCTTTTTTTCTATGTATTTCTAATACATAGCAAATCTTCTCATATAATCTTTCATCTCATTTTCTCTGCTGTGATAATAGTGGGTACTGAGGTTAGAGTAGATATGCTTTCCATCATTTAGCATCTCAGTTATTTTTTCGAGTGGATACTTTTCTACTCCTAAAATATCGTAGTAGAATCTTTGAAGTTCCTCTGTTTTGAATTAGATTTTCTTTGTCAGCTTTTTATATTCATGAGTTTACTCATATGGAAGTTTTGCCTTGCCTTCTTGTTGTTTTGTATTGCTCATTATTGTTTTTTTTTCAAGTTCAATTAGTAAAGTTATTTAGGTTATTTATATATAATTTTAGATAGTCTAAGAATTTTATTAATACTTTCCTAAATTTACTAATGGTCATAATAATATTGTCAAGGGGTTTTGGGGTTTTGGGGTTTTGGGGTTTTGGGG